GCGTGCCCCGCGCAAACGCGCATAAACTTGTGCACTTATGCGGTGAGTTCCTAAAACGCCCTTTTTGGTTCCAGCTCTGAGCGTATTTCCTTTAGCAACGGCAAAAAGGCACAGAGTCCCTCGACTCTGCTTTCAATCGTTGAGGTCTAAGAGCCCCAAACTAACCAATTTAAACTTTTTGAGACTGGTTCCCTTCCCATGTGTAGTGTCCAGACGTCATACAGACGTCCCCTCTGAACGTAGATGAATAGGGATAGGTACTTATTTATTATTTGCCTCACTGCAGAAACGTATAACTTATGTTAGAGCCGTGCTATTGGCGTGCTATATTCAGCGTTCACATTGGCAGGGCTAATCGCCTACGTTGCAGCTTGGCTACCGGTCCCTATAATATGGACGGGGGACCAGTCAAAAACCCTGTGTTACGCTGGAGATGTTTTTCAAGCAGACCAGTGGCTGCTGGTTTACATTTACAGCGCAATCCATAGGCAATACAGGGGTTATTTTTCTAGCACAGTTGATGCTGCGGTTCGTTTTCCTGTGCTTTAATACCTAATTCCACCGAGATCACTACGTATATCCGTACAGGAGATTCTAACGTCCCGAAACAGTGGAGCCATTTCTATCCTCCCTTTGCCTCAGGGGCTGTGCGTCCCTTGCGTGTTGAAATATCATATTACACTTCACAACAGTCAGTAATATTTGTTTTTTATACTATTCATTGATAAAACATTATAGCGTCAAGTGCCGTATTTAAGTGGAGATTAATTTTTTAAAGGAAATCACAAAATCGTGAAAGTGCTGCTACCAACATCCCCTCACTTTCAAAAAGACATTTCGACGAAGGCTTGGTCCAGTGGCGCGGCAAAAATATCACTAAAGAAATCTCTTCCGTGTTCCTCTGAACCAAGGTTGTGACATCCCATCGACTGAATCGAAATTAAACAAAAACCACTCTCAGAATGTTTCAGTTTTCAGTTTTCGTTTTTTTCAAGTACCAAGGCCAAAGGACATCCTGGTTGGATGATGCAGTAGAAAGCCATTTATTATGTTTATGACAAATGCAGCACTCGGCAAGTGTCATTTCACTTCAGTTCTCACACAGATTTCATACTTACGACATCCAACTTTTTCAATATGAAGCAGGTCTGCTCACTAACGTTTGCTGCATTCTTGGTGTCCATAACTCATCTTTCATTGGGTAAGTTATCAAACCGACACAGTGGCGTATCCAGTTTCTGTTGTGTGTGT